TCTTTCCATGAGAATTAAAGTAGCACATGCTCATTTCCTTCCTTCCTTCCTTCCCTCCCTCCCCCTCCCTCCCCCCTCCCTTCCCCTTCCACTTCCCTCCCTCCTTCCCTCCTTCCCTCCTTCTCTCTCTTTTCTTTTCTTTTCTTTTCTTTTCTTTTCTTTTCTTTTCTTTTCTTTTCTTTTCTTTTCGGTTTTCTCCTATAACCTTCTAACAACTCATCCATGCCAGGAACCTGGGAGTCTTCATTACCTCTCTAAGCTGACATCCCAGTGCCTGTCAGGCAGACCCCATGCTGGCCACTGCAGATGTAACCTGTGCGAACGGATGGACGGACGGGGTCTGTCTCACTGGCTGCCTGTAGGATTGATGTGGATTAGTCCCAGGAAGGTGAAACCCGGGGTCCTGATGATTGGCAGGACCTCCCTGGGGAAGGGCATTAGAACTAAGAACTGAAGGATGATTAGATGCTCATCAGGCAAACTGGGGGTGGGGGGCAGGCTAGGCTGAGGGATGAACATGCTTGAAGGCTCTGTGGTAAGGAGAAATAGGCCAGGAGGCTGAGAAGGAGGCAGGACCTGGTGCCAGATAAGGCCAGGCTGGGCACTGCACATCAGAGACAGTGTTGGCTGGCACTTCGTTGCGTTCTTATACCCACCTTCTACAAGATTCTATCTCAAACCCCTCTGCCCATAACTCATTTCTACCTATAAGGCCATCTTTTCCACCCATCCATCAGCCAGGCAAATAGTGTCTTGCCCCCTTCAAATTCATCTTGTAAGCAGTGTGCTAACATGAGAGTCCTATTAAAATGACCCTCTGGGCAAAGTCCTCCCCTGGTCCCTCATTGTCAGGATGGAGTCAAGCCCAGAGGCCTTTTGTATTAGCTCCCTCAACCTCCCTACTCCTTTTCTTTGCTGCAGCTTTCTCAGATGGCTCACGGTACCCCTGAGGTGCTGGGTGGATGTGCTGGGGAGCCCCAGGGGAGGTCTTGCTCATCTCATACCCTCCTACCAAGGGATTATCACTCCAGGAAGCCACCTCCCCCAACTCAAGCCATCTGCTGCCCATCTCAGCTCCCTTTCTCTACCGTGCCTGTCATACAGCCAGCCGCCCAGTCTCTCCGCTATAGGCACAGACCTTCTGCTAGACTGGGAACTATTTGGAGAGGGATGAGGGTCCCTTTGTCTTCATCCTCTTTGGTGCCACTGTCTAACATATATTAACATTTAATAAATGCGTTATTGAATGTGAGGGTCTAGTGATGAAGGAAGCACACTGTTCGAGTGAGCCATACAGGATGCAGCTCCATCCTGAGGTACTTTAGGAAGGAGTCTGGCTTCCAGGACACCTTCTTGAACTCCCTGGATCTGGAACTTCCAGCAGCCAATCACATTGCAAGGTGGCCTCCACCCCACACCCACACACTGGGAAGGTAGGTAGACCAAGTTGGTGAGAGTCAGGCCTAGGTCTTCTCAAGCTTTAGTGAGTTCCAGGATAATCTGGGTTTCCTGGCTGGGTGCCCCCTGATTGCTTGATTCAGGGGGAAGGGTGGTATCAGAGAATTTGCTTCTGTTACAAGTTCCCACGTGATACTGGCGGCGCTGCTGCTCCAGGAACCACACGCTGAGAATCTGTGTTCTAGCAAAAGAATTTGTTCTTCAAAGGATTGCTCTCTACGTGCTAGGGGAGGAAATGGATGGTTTTGCTTGGGTTTAGCTTTGTAGGTTTTAAGCGTCATTAGTATGAGATTAGTGTGGACAGATGTAGGCTTGCTTCCACTCCTGGCTCTTGTCTCTCGCACAAGTACTCCTATGTCCACACCAGCGACTCAACAAATATGTTTTGTAGAAAGTGCATGGCAGCCGATGAGGTGGAGTGGGGGATATCAGACAAGTCGATTGGAAGCCACCCTGAAGGGAAGGCGGCAGGTGTAGGCAGGATCGTAATTCAAGAAGTCCAGGGAGGGGTAACTGCTTTGAAGCACAGTGAGTTCTCATCCCTGGAGCCTGAACAGGCCTCTAGAGCATTAGTGGGAATGATATTAGTGGGCAGTTAGTGTAAGTAACTGTTAAGATCTTGGAATTTTATGATTAAGAAGAAAAGCAATGGCTGACCCTGCATTGCATAAACGGCTCACTTGGGATCATGGCCGGATCTGCAGAGGTACTAGGCCGCCTGTGCAAATACAGAAAGCAGCTCTTCTTTGGACAGGCATGCATCCCTCAACAGCAGTGTGTTTGCTGTCTAAGTGGATTCATATTCAATGATCCTGTAATTTGTTGCTTATTGACCTCAGATCATTTAAAAGGTTAAATGGAAAAGCCACAAGCAGGCAGAGAGTGTACCTCAGGGGCCTCTTTATGGCCTGCTTCCTAAGTCACATGGAACTGAGACGCAAGGCACCATTTTAGTCTGTTTTGTGTATGTGTGTGCGTGAGAGAGAGAGAGACAGAGATAGAGAGAAAAACATATATAGAGAGATATAGATATATAGATATATAGACAGAGACACAGAGAGAGAGCTTGAATTTATAGTGATAAGGTCACCAGCTTGAATTTCAAACACTCATCAAGAAAGTCCAACCAACTTCCATATTCCACAGTGTGGTAGGAGAGATCACAGTTTCTCTTGGGGAGGTCTAACTCTTAAGATGTGATAAACAAGACTGTGTCTCTTGTCCAATAGCTACCATTTACTGAACATCTGTTATGTTAGCTGGGTGAGATTCTTTGCAAATACTATTTATAATCTTTCAATTAACCTCCAAAGTATTACTATCTTCCTTTCCAGAGAACAGGCACAGAGAGATCACAAGTCTTTGTCCAGTTTCACAGAGCAAAACCTGTCCATTCATTTTTGGAAGTTGACGTAACTATAAAATTGAACCCTGATAAAGATAGTTAAAAAGTTATAGCTCTGTGAGTCTGAGTTCAGATGCAATATTATCAAGTTGAATCCGTAACTATATCAAATGAATAATACACTCTGGCCAAATGGAGCATGTTCTAGGAATGCAAGAATGGTTCAATAATAGGAAATACTAGGAAGCCAACCCAATTTACCATATCCACAACCCAAAGAAAAGCCATGTATTAGAGATACTTAAAGGGCAGTCAATAAAATGCTCCTATAATAAGACTCTAAGACAGGAATAATAGGAACTGCTTCAATTTAATAAAAACTAAAAATTAGCTATAACGTCATTCAAAACAGTGAAACCCTAGATCCAACTTCATAAAAATAAGAGATGCCCGATTCTTCCATTTAAAGCTATTGTCCTGGCTATTACTCAAAATGAATTACGCTCCTTAGAAGTAGTTTACTTAAGAGAGAGAATAGACGGTGCTTTCTATTTTTTTGCCAAGCCTGGGAGAATCTGATAGGAAAAGATAAGCTGTGAGGAGACCTTGTGGCGTTTTCTTCTCCTTAGAGGGAAGGGCACAGCCACTGAATTGGGACACCCGAAACTGGGATTGGAACTCAGGTCTGATGTTGAAGTCCTGCTCTTCCTCTCTATAAAGAATCTATGCTTTTTGGTGCCAGTGATCTGGGAGAAGGGAGAGTCCCTCAGAACCAACCTATCCCTCACTGCTCCAGCAGAGTCTGGCCAGACTTGGCCTTCTGGGAGGGGGGAAAGGATGGGCATTTGCGTGGAGAGGAGGATGGGCATTTAGCAGGGGAGAGGAAGATGGGCATTTAGCAGGGGAGAGGAAGATGGGCATTTGGGGGAGAGGAGGATGGGCATTAGGAGAAAGAAGAGAATGAGCATTTGAGGGGAGAGGAATATGGGCATTAGGGGGGAGAGGAAGACGGGCATTTTGGGGAGGAGAACGGGCATTTAGAGGGAGAGGAGGATGTTTGGGGAAGAGAGGAAGATGGCATTTTGGGAGGATGAAGAACGAGCATTTGGGGGAAGGAAGATGGGCATTTGGAAGGAAGAGGAAGATGGTCATTTGGGGTCACAGTTTCACTGTGAAGACCCCAAAGCCTCTGTTCTTGGCAATCCCATCCCTCTAAGGCTGAGGTCTGGGCTGAGTGTGGGGAGGCATGGCTGGTGGTCTGGCCCACAGTCACTTTGCCTGCCTTTTGCTGTCTGAATCCCAAGCATCCAGGGTACTGAGTCACCCCCTTTATTCTTGCCTCTAAGATGCCCTGTTAATGTTACTAGTTGCCTTTTGTCTCAAGCTGTCTCTGGGGTGTCAGAGGCTAATTGGAGCATTGAGGTCACAAGCTCTTGGCTACTACAGCCACTGGGATGCCTCAGTCCCATTGTGTTTGCGGTGCGAGTAGAGCACATTCTCCTGGCATAAATCAGAGGGTGATACATGGAAAGTTTGCTACTTCGTGCAGAATTAACCGCAGAGCAGCGGATGAGGCTCTGCAGAGGAATCCAGCAGACCTGGGTTCTGGTGGCTCTTCCACCGATGTGTTCCATGTGCGTCACTTAGTGCTGCTGGGCCTCACTGACCTCACTGGTGACCTAAGACATTGGACTGCGTAGGCTTCCAGTGAAGTTGCAAAGTTCTGATGATAATCTTCCTTTCCGTGTGCTCAGTACCATTTGAAGTACCGTGTTAAGGCCCGGAGTAGGGCTCAGTGCCTAGCATACCTAACTCACTTGCCTAGCGTACCTAACACTGTAACAAACACAACAGTCAAACAGTGCTCACCTAAGGACTCTGTGCGGTGCGTGGTTAATGAGCTCATACAGCTATCATTCCCATTTTGTCTCCAAAGCAACGGAGACAGAGTAGTAGTTCATTCACTTACCCAGGGTCTTACAGGCAGAATGGTAGAGTACACAGTATCTGTGTTCGTATACCTCTTTTGCATGCATGAGCCCCATGGTTACAGTGGTGTGGGTCTGAGGGTGGGAGGTACTTTTAAGGGGAAACCTGGCTCCGGTGTGGACAGCTGGGGACTGTTACCCCGAAGTGTGAGAGAGTGACCACAGAAGTTGCTGACATTGTCCATCACTTCTTCTTTCTTCCTCTCTAGTCTGTGGCAAGCGCTACAAGAACCGGCCGGGACTCAGCTACCACTATGCTCACACTCACCTGGCCAGCGAGGAGGGCGATGAAGCCCAAGACCAGGACACGCGGTCCCCACCCAACCACAGAAATGAGAACCACAGACGTGAGTACCCGCTTGTAAGGTTGGGGAGTGGGGCATGGGGCAGGTATTGTGGGGAGCAGTTCTTTTCTTTCCACTCTGGTATCTCCCGGCAGCAACAGCTGATGGGTCTTGGTGTTGTGCAGTAAATGAACCCCTCAGCTCAGCCAGCCACCATTCCTATGGCTGAGCTGGGCACCAGGAAAGAATAAGCAGGTTTGAATGCATGTGATCAGCCTTGTCTCCAGACAGAGGCAGGATGTAAGTGTCCAGCAGAAGGGGAGTGACCTCACCTGGCCACTGTCGCAGGCCAGACCTGTCCATCCTTTCCCTCAGCTTCTGAAGGGCCGCTCACAGCTGTTGCGAGCGACTGACGGTTGCTGGTTGACTGCTGTGGTTTTCCTGTATGGGTCACTACTATGGAGCTCTCCTGCCATCTGGATGGATATGTCACTTGGGATGACAGTTGGCTCTGAAGACTCAAAGCGATCCTGCAGATTTGTTTCTATTCTTTCTCTCCTTCCTCAACTCGCGGTTATGAATTAGGAATGAAAAGGGGGCTGGACATTCACTGTTAGACTGGCTCTCTCCCATCCTTTATGGTTTCTGGGATGACAAACGCCCCCTAACACGATGTGGTCATGGAATCTGTTGAGCTTGCTTCAAGATCTGGGTCATACTGAGATCACTGGAGGGAGAGGTATTTGTGGACGTATGATGTGGGCTTTTGCTTCGTTTATACAATTTGTTGGTAGATATTTTAAAAACTTTTTCATTTAGATTTGGTTTATTATTTCATGTATATGAGCATTTTGCCTGCATGTATGTATGTGTAACACATGCACATATATGCAGTGCCTGCTGAGGTCAGAAGACTGCATCAGGTCCCCTGTGACTGAAGTGATGGGGTTGTGAGCCTCCATGTGAGCATGAGGTATCGACCCTGGATCCTCTGGAAGGGCAGCAAGTGCTGTTAGTGCTAATGCTCCAGCCCTGGTTTACATTCTTAAAGTGAACAAAGACTCTGCCTTTTAAAAGAAGCCAGATTTTAAATTTAAAGATGACTCCTGTGTAGTTGAGAATCTCGGCTTATGGGACCGATGCCACATGGACACTTTCACCACGCGTCTGAAACCATGGGCATCCCCTGGCCAAGACCTTTGCTTAGGCTTGTGTGTGGTTCTTCCAGGCCGGTGTCCCGTGTTCACTGGTCATGCTGCCTTCTCTGTCAGTGTGCTGTGGCTGGCACAACAAAATACCCAGGCCACAAGTCTTAAACTACAGCAATTAGTTCCTCACGGTTCTGGGGACTTGAGAAGCCAAGGTCAAGGCATTGTCAGTGTTGGCTTCTAGATATCCCTCTCCTTGGTTTGCAAATGGCTGTCCTCTGGCAGCTCTGCCCTTTTCTCTCCATGCACATGGGCTCTTCTTATAAGGTCATCAGGCAGACTGGATTAGGACCTGCCTGCCCTACTAGCTGCATTGTGTGATATGTAGGTGCACGCATACGCATGCATGCGAGTCTGTCTGTCTGTCTGTGCATCTGTGTGTCTGTCTGCCTTTCACACTTACATATACTCTCAGTTGGATTTCACTTTGCTTTTTGAGACCAAGTCTTTCACTGAACATGAAATTCACTGATTTGGCAAGACTGGCTGTGGAGACCTTCAGGGTCGTCCATCTCTGCCTCCCCAGCTCTGGGATTATAGGTGCCTGCAGCTATTTCCATCTTTTTGTATGGGTGCTGGGGGCGCAGTCTAAACTCAGGTTCCTGTGTCTTCATGACAACCACTTAACAGTTGAGCTGTCTCCCCAGCTTCTTCAATAGTCTCATTTAACAAACATCACCTCTTCATTTACTACTTCTCCTCCTTCAAAAGATTTATTTTCACTTTAAATCACGTGTATATGTGTGTCTGTATGTGGGTATGTGCACATGAGTGCAGTGCCTGTGGAGGCCAGAAGAGGGCGTCAGGTCCCTTAAGCTGGAGTTACAGGTAGTTGCAAGCCACCCTATGTAAGCTCTGGAAAGCGAACACGAACAGTGCACCCCCTTAACCACTGAGCCATCTTTCCAGCACTTTGATTACTTCTTTGTCTATCTCTATCTTCAGAAGAGCCAAATGCCAAAGTACTAGAGGTTAAGCCTCAATATAGGAACTTGGAATTGGGAAAAATGTATCCTGTGACATGAATTTGTTTTCAACTTTGAGGGTTCGATCTTTTAATGTGACAGACCCTTGCTTTCTCACCTCCTGTTGCCATCTGGGCAGACTCGGGGAAGCAGGGCTGGAGGAGGAGGGTGACTTCTCTCTTTCTGCACCAGATCCTGAGTCTCTATGACAGCCGGCTCTCTGCCTGCCCTTTGGGAGAGCTCTCCTTTTCTGTCAGGGAAGAAGACCTGTCTATTGAGGCAGCTGACAGCGCCATTCCCCTTTCTCTCCTCTTTACCTTCTCGGTCTAAGTGTCTAGAAAGTCACAGGGAGCTGTCACGTCCTACCAGGAAGAGGCTGCAAATGATCTTTGGCTTTAGGTGCTTTCTGGAAAGCACAGATTAGTGACTTGTTCTCTCTCCAGTGTGTCTGTTAGCTTTCTTTCTCACCCCTCCAGTGCTAGCCTAGCTCTTGCGTTTCCTCAATGTTTGGCCATTTGCTTCTGTGTACAGGCATCCTTCTTTATGGTGTTTGGATGGCTTCCCTTGTGTTGTGTTTTCCCCCACTTCTTTAGTGTCCACAGTGAGTGGTGGTTTTGCACACTCGTGTATATATGTGTGTACATGTGCAAAGTTTCGGCAGCAACAGTAAGTGGAGGGAGACGCTCCTCCCCAGCTGTTCCTGAGGTCCCCTCCAAGTAGACTTCTGTCATCAGCACTGACATTCTTTGCTCTTTCTGCCAAGAGTTCGCATGTGAAATTATCAGTGGCATCTGTGTCCTCCTTAGGTATTGTCCCAGGGAGATCACACGGACTTGCTTAGTACAGAAACTGTGCCTTTCCTTCTTCTATACAGGGACATGCCTCATGCCTGTCTTCATCGTCTGTGGGCTCATGGGTGAGCAACATGCTCCAGTTTCCCCTCCATCTTTTTTTCCTTTCTCACCTGCTGATGAGACATGGACTTCTTCACAAAGCATCATTTGACCTCCAAGAGAGGACCATATGTGGGCTGATCTAGGCCCTCTTCAGACAAAGACAGTTCCAGAAACGCCCCTTGTTTTAATTAATTTTCTCTTTGAGGTGTCTTCTCACAACTTTGTCTCTGAAAACTCTGTACCCAGCCCTAATTTTACCCGCAGGGAACTGGGCATAGCAGACAAGCCCCTAGCCCTAGTCTCTCTGGACAAACCCAGCGGTAGCTGCTCGCCCTGGCTTCTGTGAGCCACACACACTACTGTATCGATTCACTTGCTGCTCCGAATGTGCGCTCTATTTCCTCCCACATGCCCCTGGTAAGCAGGCCCCCACCATTTTCCCGTGAGCACTAATTGCTGGCATCATTAATACCCAGTCATTAGCTGCTCTCACTGTTTGGGGCTTGGAGTGGGCTCCCATCCACACTGCCCCGAAATGCCACCAGGGCTGTGTGGTGAGCTGAACGTGACAGCTCAGCAGCATCCTGAGGGCTCAGCTCCCTGTCCTCTCCCAGTCAGGCCTCCAGAAGACCTTAATCCAGGGAGGCTAATCTGTGGCTCCCCCAGGAGAAGGTCTGGATGCTGGCAAGTGGAAATGCTGACATTCCCTTTAGTAGAGCCGTGGGATGATACCCAGGCTGCTGTCATAGAAAAAGAGCCCCACAAATACAGAAATATGCAGGGCCACAGGCAGCTGGCTCACACCACCTGCAGCCATTGGGGCCTTTTGACTTTGGTACTGCTCCTGTCCTTTGCTCCATCCCCTTCAGCTGTGTCCTCAGCAGAGCCCAAGCTCATCCCCATACCTGCAACTTCTTAACTGAAAGGATAAAGTGGCCAGCTGGCATCAGTAGTGACCTTCCCTTCCCCAGCCCTTGCTGCTCTGAGCTGCCAACTCAGCAGTCAAGTGGCCCTGCCACCTCTGCTGTCCTCCTGCTCCTCCCAGAGTTCCTCTTCTGCTCTCTCTCCTTTTCTCCTGAGCGTTCATTTCTGGGTTTCTTCCCTATGGGTTTGCCTCCTTTGCTCTGTGCTTGAGGCTCTCTACCTCAGTGACAGATGAGCAGCTAGGGAGGCTTGGAGCTTAGACCTCCCTCTGGGAGAAATGACCTTTCTGATGGGGTCTTTCTCCTCTGGGTTGCTCCCCTCCCCCTGCCCATGGATGAGGCTAGGGTATTTTTTCCCATTAGTTTCTCTTACCACATTCATCTGTATATAGTGATGCCAACACATAGCTGTGTGTGTACATGAATAAAAGGAGGGGTGGCTTGATCAGGGCTCTGAGTGTCAGTGAGATTCAGTTACTCTCCGCTGATTCTTTTAGAGCAATCAAGATTAACATTCATAATCTCAATGACCCAGGCTCACAATTTCAAAAATCTTTAAAATTCCGTTTACTTTATTTGTGCAACTGGAATCTACTAAAGATGTTTTCAGGACACTTTTGGGAGTAGTGATGAGATCAAAGTTTTGGATTTAAGCATAAAAATGATGTAAGTAAATCTGTGTTGTTCATTCATTCATTCATTGAATCCATCCATCAGTGCATCTAGCCATCCAGCCAACCATCCATCCATGCATCTATTCGCCCACCCACCCACCCACCATCCATCTACCTACCCACCTAACCATCCACCCACCCATTCATCTGTTGAAATAAGAGCAGCGGGGCTGCGTCCCCGGCACCCGGCCGCCCGCATGGCTAGCTTATGCCCGAAATAATTACACGGAAACTGTATTCTTTCAAACACTGCCTGGCCCGGCTAGGTCCAGTTTCTTATTGGCTCTTAAATATTGTTCTAACCCATTTCTAATATTCTGTGTAGCCCATGAGCTGGCTTACCAGAGAGGATCTTAACCTGCGTCTGTCTGGAGTGGGAGCATCATGGCGACTCACT